ACAGAATGGGAGAAAATATTTGCAAATCATGCCTCAGACAAAGGACAAATATTCAAAATCTACAGGTAACTTGAACAACTCTACATGAAAAATACAACACCATCAAAAAGTGAGTAAAGGACACGAATAGACACTTCCCAAAAGAATACTCACATGCAGCCAACAAATGTATTTAGAAATATTCAGCCGGCTCGGTGGCTCAGCCTGTAATCCCGCGCCTTTGGGAGGCTGAGGTGAGTGGATTGCCTGAGCCCGCGGGTTTGAGACCCGCCTGGGCAGCGAGACCTCATCTCTACAATAAATCAAAAATTAGCCGGACGTGGTAGCACATGCCTGTAATTCCAGCTACTGGGAAGGCTGAGGCGGAAGGATCGCCGGAGCCCAGCAGGTCGAAGCTGCGGTGGCCGGGAGCGGCCACTGCACTCCAGTCTGGATGACAGAGTGAGACTCCAACTCAAAAAAATGAAAATAAAATAAAAATAAAAATCTTTAAAAAAAATTCAACATCACTAACCTTCAGAGAAATGCAAATTAAAACCGCAGTGAGATATCTTATACCAGTCAGAATGACTATTATTAAAAAGTCAAGAAACAACAGATGTTGAACCAAATGTAGAGAAAATGAAATGCTCACATATTGTTGGTGAGACTGTAAACTAGCTCAACCTCTATGAAAAACAGTATAGATAATTCTCAAAGAACTATAAATAGAACTACATTTGACTCAGTATTCCCACCACTATGTATCTATCCAAAGGAAAAAAACCTTTATATAAAAAAGATAACTGTACTTGTATGTTCATTGCAGCACTAGTCACAATAACAAAATCAAGGAGCCAACCTAAGTGCCCATCAACAATTGACTGGATAAGGAAAATATGGTATATATGTACCATGGAATACTACACATAAAAAGAATGAAATCATTTATTTTGTAACAACATGGATGGAACTAGAGAACATCACCGTATGTGAACTAACTTAGAAACAAAAAACAAACAACACGTGTTCTTACTTATATGTGGAAGCTAAATGACCACAAATATGGAAATATTAGGTATTGGGGACACTAAAAGGGGGCAGACAGGTAGGAGGGTTCAGAGTTATCTGCTGGGTATAATGTTCACTGTCTGGGGAATGGATAACCTGAAACCCAACCACCACCACTATGCAATATGTCCGTGTGGCAAACATGCACTTGTACTCCCTGAATCTAAAATAAAATAAAATCATGAAATTTCTTCGGGCAAAGGGGAAATGGTCCCAGCAGAAACAAGAAGATGCAATAGAATATGAAAAAAATAGGGCAACCCCCTGGGGTCCTCTCCCACTGTGGGAGCTTTTCTGTCCTCTCGCTAAATCCTGCTTTCTCACTAAAAAAGAAAAGAAAAGAAAAAAGCAGAAATAGTAAAGATAGCAATAAAATAAATAAATACTGACTGCACAGTTCCAGTTATGTATTGTGGAGTTTTAGTTATAAGTGAAATTAAAATGCATAAAAACAACAAAGCAAACTATAAGAAAGGGCTTAATAGAAATAGAGTGTTCTATGGTTTTAGCATTGTTTTTAATGAGGTAAATGTAATAACTTGCATTAGACACTAATAAGTCAAGGAAGAAAGATGTATTACTCAATTGTAAAATATCTCTTTGACTTCTTTTTGTAATTTCTATCCCTTTATTGATAGTCTGTTTGGTAATACATTGTTCTCCTGGCTGCCTTTCATTCTTTGTGCATAGTTTCCTTCGTTCTTTGTCTATGTTTTTTAAAGTTGACTTTTTTTAATGATGTGAGGTACAATTCAGGATTAAGTATATAAGTGGTCATCGTACAGATAAAGTTTGGGCCTCCATTTGGTTCCCACTTCACCTGGTTTGAAACAGGTATGCTTATTAATGTTTTGTGCCCCCCTTCCCACCCCTGGTAGTTTCTGGCTACTGTAAAGTTGATTTTTAAATATTTCACTAGTAGTTTCAATATCTGGGCTTTCTCCAGCAAAATTTCTGTTGGTTTCTTTATTTATTTTCCTGTAAATGGGCCAGTTTCATCTTTGGGTTTGTTTGTTTATTTGTTTTGATGTGTCTCATAATTTTTGTTAAAAGTTGAGTATTTTTCATATGATAACGTGCTAGCTCTGGAAACCAAATTATCCTCTATTCTCCAGCATTGTTGTTGCTAATTGTGAGTAGTTGTTGTTTCTTTGAATAGTGAGTTTTCTAAACTATTTTTATAAAGACTGTATTATTTGTGTGTGTGCTGTGGTCACTACAGGTTCTGTTACCTTGGTGGTCATCTAGTAATTTAACAAATATTTTCCTAACCTCCTGGATCCAAGAAGAAAAGGAAATAAGATGAAAAAAAGAGAAAAAATTGTTGGAGCACTCATTTGGTGCTTACCTAGGCAGTTCTCTCTTGTCCTTCCCTCACTGCTTGCATGATTCCTAGAGATTAGCCATAACTAAAGGGATAGAGCCTCTTTAGATCTGTTTAAGCATGTATTTATCTCTGAGCATTTATGCAGCCCTCTAGATCTGTAATATTTGCAGGTGCTTTACACAGCCCTAATTTCCCATATATCTTCATCCCCAGACTCATCTTCCTGGTGAAAACAATCTTGAAAAATGAGAACAAAAACACCTCCTGATGTCCAAATACAGTACAAAGCCTTAGTCATATAGTAGTATGATACTGCTATAAGAATAGATTACTGGATCGATTGAATGGATGGTGAGTTCAGAAATAAACCCATACATTTATGGTCAACTGATTGCCAACCAGACTGCCCAGACCATGGGGAAAGAATAGTCTCTTCAACAAATGGTGCTGGGGCAACTGGGTAGGCACAGAGAAAGGAATAAAGTTGAACCCTTACTTCACACCATATACAAATTTAATTCAAAGTGAACTAAAAACCTAATATTAGATTGAAAACTATAAAACTGTTAGAAAAAAACATAAGAATACATTTCTATCACCTTGAATTTGCCATGGTTTCTTAGATATGACAACAAAAGCATAAGTCACAAAAGAAAAAATAGATAAAGTAGACTTTATCAAAACTAAAAAATTTTTGTATCAAAGGACAATATCATGAGAGTGAAAACACCCACAGACTGGTAGAAATGGTAAGGATATGGTACACAGAATATACAAAAAGCTCTTATAACTCAACAATAAAAGACAAAAAAAATACTTTAATAGGCAAAGAACATGAATAGCCATCCTTCCAAAGAAAATTTATAACTGGAAAATACACACATTAAAAAGATGCTTAATGTCATTAGTCATTAGGAAAATGCAAATCAAAATGACAATGAGATACCAAGATGGCTATGAATGAAGTGAAAAATAAAAAATATTGGTAAAAATATGAAGAAATTAGAACACTTGCACATTGCCAATGGGAATGTAGTAGACACAATACAGACACTGTGGAAAATAGTTTGACTGTTCCTCAATAAATTAAACAGAAATGCCAAATGAACTAACAATCCCACCTCCAGATGTATACCCAAAAGAACTGAAAACAGTTGTTCAAACAAAAATTTACAATCAAATGTTCATAACAGCACTATTAACAATAGCCAAAAGGTGGAAATAACCTTAGTGGCCATCAATGGATGCCTATATAAAAAAAAACACTATGTAAAGAGAAAGAAGCAAGGAATGAAAGGCTCACATATTTTAGAGATTTATTTATATGAAATATCCAGAATAAATAAGTTCACAGAGACAGAAACAATTTAATGTTAATGTTTGGTAGGGGTTGGGGAAGGGAAAAATGAGAATGACTTAGTAGATGCATAGTTTTTTCGGGGGTTCTGCAATGAGATAGAGGTGGTGGTTGCATATCATGACTGTATTAAATGCCATTGAACTGTACACCTCAAATGCTTAAAGTGGTAGATTTTGTGCTATGTATATTATGCCTCAATAATAAAATTTGTAAAAGAAATCAAGAAGTAATCTGTACACAAAGCACAAAAAAAGAATAGTAAAATAATAACAATGTATGATTAAAAATTAATGAGGAAATGGAGTAACAAAAATACATATTTAATTAATTAAAATGGAGAAAGGGGAAAAGAAAAATATGAAACTCATGTCTCAAATAGAAACCATAAAAATATGGAAAATGTAGATTAAAATATATCATCATTACATTAAATATGAATAGATCACATTTTTCAGAAAAGTAATGATTGTCAATCTACAGAAAAAAGAACAAACTCAACTTTACACTATTTACAATGAGCACATAACATACATATGGACATAGAAAAGTTTAATGTAAAATGACAGAAAAAAAATACCATGCAAACACTAATGAAAAAAAAGTTGGTATGTTTGTACTAATCTCAGAAGTAGATGAGAGTTAAGGTAGGAGTCATGAACAAAAATTAAGAGAAATATTTCCTAATTTTAAATGAAATGGTGTGCAACTAAATAAATAACAAATGACTTTCTGTAATGGAGAAACTTTTGCCAATTTCCATAGTACAATTATTCCCATTATGGCCAATTTCAAGTTACCAATTAAATGTCACTAACCATGGACTTGAAGAGAGATGTACACAATCAACTTGAAGTCAATGCCAGCCAGCATCAGCACACCACTCCTTAAAAAGAGTTGGTCCACCAGGAGTAGATCATAATGCTAAATCTATGTGTCCTCAACATAATTTAAAATATGTATGTAAGGAAAAGTTGATATATCTCAAAGGAGAAAAAGACAGATACTCATTTACAATAATGCAACATATTTTGCATAAGATTTTGCACATATCTTATAAGAGGTGATGAAAAAGAAGACGAAAGTTGACTAACAATAAAGAAGATCTAACAGACAAAGTAATAAACGTCATCTAATTGATATGTTAAGAACGCTGCACATAGAATACATATTATTTTTAAACTATGTGGAGTTAACAACCATACAATAATTTTAGGAGATAAATCTCACAGTGTTCATAACTGAAATAAGAGGATTTAATGATTGTCACTTTAAAAAGTTAACCCTTTTGACAAATATTTCTAGAGCCTCTTTTATATCTCTGTTCCTCAGGCTATAGATGAAGGGGTTCAGCATGGGAGTAACTATTGTATAAATGACAGAAGCAATGATGTCCTTGTCACTGGAGTTCCGTAATGAAGAGAAGAAGTAAACACCTGCAAGTGTTCCATAGTATAAAGACACCACAAAGAGATGGGAGCCACAGGTAGAAAATATTTTAAGGAATCTTTTAGCAGAGGGGCCCTTTAGGACACTGGTTCCTATACGGATATAAGAGCCCAAGATACTACTCAAAGGCAGGATAAAAAGCATTCCTCCCTCAGTAAAGATGACCAGCTTATTGAGGGAGATGTCTGAGCAGCTTAGCTTCAGGAGGGCAGTAAGGTCACAGAAGAAATGGAAGATGGTATTATCAGCACAGAAGGAAAGTTGGACCAAGAGGAGGGTGTGCAGCAGGGCATGGACACAACAGAAAAACCAAGACCCGCCTACTAACCAGATACACAGTTCCTCCCGCATGACAATGATATAGCTCAGTGGGTGACAAATAGCCACATACCTGTCGTATGCCATCACTGCAAGAAGAAAATTGTCAAGACAGCCAAAAAGTACAAAAAAATACATCTGAGAAACGCACCCCACATAAGAGATGGATTGTTGCTGAGCTTGCATATTCATCAACATTTTGGGAACTGTGGTAGATGAAAGGGAAATATCAGAGAAGGCCAAATGGCTGAGAAAGAAGTACATGGGGGTGTGGAAGCGAGAGTCCAGCCGGATGAGCAGCATGATGAGCAGGTTCGCCAGCACTGTGGTCAGGTACACGCCCAGAAACAGGGCAAAGAACATGCCTTGCTGCTCTGGCTGGATGGAGAGCCCCAGGAGGAGGAACTCGGACATGCTAGTCAGGTTCTCCCTCCTCATGCTGTTTTTATCTCTGTTGGGAATTGGAGAGAGTAGGACATGTCCATGAACATGCTCATAATAGTATAGTAATGTATTTTACTATGAAAATTCTTCATTTTAGTGACACTTCTGTTTGCTAGTGTTTCTCATACTTGGTACATGAATCACAAGTCTGTCAAGGATACATCAAACCCTCATATTAACCAAGTTTCTTTCCAAAAAAACAAAAGGACATTAGGTTTTTTATTCAATATGTATTTGTTTAGCAACAGCCTTGACCCAGGTACTAAACTAACTACCCAGTACATGAGTACAGAGTAGCGAACAAGAACGAGAAATGCAAAGTGTCTGTGTTCGGGGACTTCAAATCTTTTATCAAGCCAGATTCAAAACTCAGTAATTTACTATCACTGAAATGTAAAATGGGCATTTTTTTTTTGAGTTGGAGTCTCACTGTCACCCAGACTGGAGTGCAGTGGCCACTCCCGGCCACTGCAGCCTCGACCTGCTGGGCTCCGACGATCCTTCTGCCTCAGCCTTCCGAGTAGCCAGAATTACAGGCACACGCTACCATGCCCGGCTGATTTTTTAAATTTATTGTAGAGATGAGGTCTCGCCAAGTTGCCCAGGCAGGTCTCGAACCCGTGGACTCAGGCAATCCACTCACTTCCACCTCCCAAGGCGTGGGATTACAGGCTGAGCCACCAAGCCCGGCTAAAATGGGCATCTTAAAACATTATCAATTATTTCCCTTTTTTTTGAAGCTTCTGAGTATTGTTTATTTGCTTTGTTTTTTTATGTATAATCTTGTTTCTCTTAGACATAGAAAGAATAAGAAAATACTGCATGTGGGATCTTAAAATAAAAGTTGAATACATAGGCCAGGAGCAGTGGTTCATGCCTATAAGCCCAGCACTTTGGGAGGCTGAGGTGAGAGGATTGCCTGA